TGTGTGTGTGTGTGTGTGTGTGTGTGTGTGTGTGTGTGTGTGTGTGTCTATGATATTTCTCTAAGGGGAATAAAATCTTTCTCACAACAAAAGCCTACTAAAATGTCAAAGAAACCAGAAACAAGGCAGGAAGTTGATACATAGACAACTTGTAAAGTGGATATTGGTTTTTAGTGGAAAACACTTGTATTAGGTTTATATTCTATCAAGGTTACAAATTAGTGAAAATCAAACACATACATTTGTCAAGAATTACTTTTAAAAGGTGTATATGTTTACAGTGTGTTACAATCTTTGTTTAAATTGTTTCTTGTTGGAAATGATTCTAATCATCTCTCCTAATACTTCATTTACTAGATTTTAAAGTAGCCCTATTTCTGTATGATCATCAATTTACAATATGTGAGTACCAAAAAGTGTCTTTAAAAATGCATAATACTTAAAGAACGCAGGAAAAGATGGACTGTGAACATTCTTTAAATAAATAGAAGACAGTGATGGGCCTTGGAAGTTGTTTTAAGAATTTGGACTTACCACGTTTTTAAATTAAATTGAGAAGTTACCAATTTCCTTCTTTCTTGAAATTAAAAAAAAGAAAACCCAGACAATCACTGAGGAAATACCAAAAGGCATTTGTGGAGTAAACAGCTTTGTCTTGTGCTTGTAGCCACAGTTAAAAGGAGTAAAAACCTGGCCCTGTAATTTTCCAGTATGCAGAATGGAAACTAAACAGTCTTTCATTACTAATCCATGGTTTCAAATGATTATAGTCCTTATCATATGATATGGTAAACATTTAGAAGTAAAAATTTGTGATGCATTATCGGGTCATCCCCTCCTCTTCGTCAGGACACTGGACTCACAGCCCCCATCAACTCCACCTACTACCACAACCTGCCAGAGGGACACAGGCTCCTTTTCCTGATGGCTCCTTTGAGACCCACTTGTTCTTTGCTTGCATGTTCTGGCAGCTTCCGGGCTGGGATAGCAGACATCCCCACTCCAGTCAATCCAGCTGCTGGAGGACGAGTCCCTAAAACCTGCCATAGCCTCCTCAGGATTATCTACGAACATTTTCCCACTCAGCACAGGTCTGCTCCACATGTCTGGGTTGAGATGGGACCTTTTCTGATATTCTATTCAAACATCATCACTGGGTTAGCACAGGACTGAACTCTGAGCCCCGTTCAACTGATCTACAACCTGGCGAATGGAGGTAATAGGAAATCAATATCTAAATAATCACTCAAAAAAGAAAAGAAAACAAACAAAAAGAAACGAAAAGAAAAGAAAAGAAAACACAATTTCCATACAAATAAACACTACTAAAGACCAGATTGATATGTTTAGGTCCCAACACAAGAAACAAGTGACATTCTCAACAACACAAAACTCTCTGCTAAATATCAGTGCTCCTACTTAAATCCTACACAAAGAACTATAGCCAATTGAAGAAAGCTGGAACTGGGAGAGGTGATCTCAGGGCGGGGGGTACACCATTTGTCCAGTGCCAAAAATACAGTTGGCAGTACCCTGAAAGCATACAGGTAGCCTTATGTAGGGAAACACTTTTATTTAGGCATCTACATCATATGCAAGTATGTATGCAGTAACAATTAGTGAAAAGAGAGAGGCCATGAACTTGGAGAATGGAGGGCTGAATGGAAGGATTTGGAAGAAGAAAGGGAGAAATTTTTTAACTATGATCTCAGAAAATAAAATTACATTAAATAACAGAAACATGGTGGTCTCATAGTAATATTCCCTGAGAAAAACAACTTAGAGGCTATACAAAACACTGAATTCAATATAGCAACAGTTAGCACAAAAAGTTCAAAGAGGGTATGAATAAATGCTATAGTGAAGACCATGAAACACAGAGTTCAATTAAATAACAAGAAATATTTAGGACTATAACTTAATAAAGAGTAGCTATGAAAAAAGCCAAAATAAAATAAAATTTGAAATGAAAAAAAAAATCTGGAATTCAAACAAACAACAGCAAAAAAAAAAAAAAAAAAAAAAAAAAAAAAAAAAAAAAAAAAAAAAAATTCAGGAAAGTATCAGTAATAGATTGGACCAGGTGGAAAAAAGTATATCTTGGCCATTCTGAATGAAGTGAGATGAAATCTCAAAATTATTTTAATCTGCACTTCTATAATTGCTAAGGATAATGAATCCTTCTTTGAAGTATTATTTAGCCATTTAGAATTCTGTGTAGACCCCCAAGGAAATTGAAGCAGTCATTCACAGTCTCCCCTCCAAAAAAAGCCCTGGGCCAGATGGTTTCAGCACGGAATTCTACCAGACCTTCAAAGAAGTGCTCACACCAATTCTCCTCAAACTATCCCACAAAATAGAAACAGAAGGTACATTACCAAACTCATTCTATGAAGCAACAGTCACCCTGATACCTAAACCACACAAAGACCCAACAAAAAAGAGAACTTCAGACCTATCTCTCTTATGAACATTGACGCAAAAATACTCAATAAAATACTTGCAAACCGAATCCAAGAACACATCAAAGATATCATCCACCACGACCAAGTAGGCTTCATCCCAGGCATGCAAGGGTGGTTCAACATACGGAAATCCATCAATGTAATCCACCACATAAACAAACTGAAGGAGAAAAACCACATGATCATCTCCTTAGATGCTGAAAAAGCATTTGACAAAGTCCAACACCCATTCATGTTTAAAGTCTTGGAGAGATCAGGAATACAAGGCACATACCTAAACATAGTAAAGGCAATATACAGCAAGCCTATAGCCAACATCAAACTCAATGGAGAGAAACTTAAATCAATCCCACTGAAATCAGGGACAAGACAAGGCTGCCCACTCTCTCCCTACCTCTTCAACATAGTACTTGAAGTCCTAGCCAGAGCAATAAGACAACTAAAGGAGATCAAGGGGATACAGATCGGAAAGGAAGAGGTCAAAGTGTCACTATTCGCAGATGATATGATAGTATATATGAGCGACCCCAAGAATTCAACCAGAGAACTCCTCCAGTTGATAAACACCTTCAGCAAAGTGGCAGGATACAAAATCAACTCAAAAAAATCAGAAGCCCTCCTGTATACCAAAGACAAAATGGCCGAGAAAGAAATTAGGAAAACAACACCCTTCACAATAGCCACTAACCACATAAAGTACCTTGGGGTGACACTAACCAAGCAAGTGAAAGACCTGTTTGAGAAAAACTTCAAGTCTCTGAAGAAAGAAATTGAAGAAGATCTCAGAAGATGGAAAGATCTCCTGTGCTCATGGATTGGTGGGATTAACATTGTGAAAATGGCCATCCTGCCAAAAGCAATCTACAGATTCAATGCAATTCCCATCAAAATACCAACTCAATTCTTTACAGACCTTGAAAAAAAGATTCTCAGCTTCATATGGAGAAACAAAAAACCCAGAATCTCCAAAACAATCCTGTACAACAACAGATCATCTGGAGGTATCTCCATCCCTGATCTCAAGTTGTACTACAGAGCAATAGTAATAAAAACTGCATGGTATTGGCATAAAAACAGAAAGGAGGATCAATGGAACCGCATAGAAGACCCAGAAATAAACCCACACACCTATGAATACTCGATTTTTGACAAAGAAGCCAAAACCATTCAATGGAAAAAAGACAGCATCTTCAACAAATGGTGCTGGTCCAACTGGATGTCCACCTGCAGAAAAATGAAAATAGATCTATATTTATCACCCTGCACAAAACTAAAGTCCAAGTGGATCAAAGACCTCAACATAAAACCAGATACTCTAAATCTGTTAGAAGAAAAAGTGGGGAACAGCCTAGAACTCATTGGCACAGGAGACAACTTCCTGAACAGAACACCAACAGCACAGGCTCTAAGAGCAACAATTAATAAATAGGACCTCATGAAACTGAAAAGCTTCTGTAAAGCAAAGGACACTGTCATCAAAACAAAACGCCTGCCTACAGACTGGGAAAGAATCTTTACTTACCCTTTATCTGACAGAGGACTAATATCGAGTATATACAAAGAACTAAAGAAGCTGAAAAGCAGCAAACCAAGTAATCCAATTAAAAAATGGGGAACAAAGCTAAACAGAGAATTCTCGACAGAGGAATATCGAATGGCAGAGAAACACTTAAAGAAATGCTCATCCTCATTAGCCATTAGGGAAATGCAAATCAAAACGACCCTGAGATATCACCTTACACCCATCAGAATGGCCAAAATGAAAAACTCAAGGGACAACACGTGCTGGAGAGGTTGTGGAGAAAGGGGAACCCTCCTCCACTGCTGGTGGGAATGTAAACTGGTTCAACCACTCTGGAAATCTATCTGGCGCTTTCTAAGACAATTAGGAATAGTGCTTCCTCAAGACCCAGCTATACCACTGCTAGGTATATACCCAAAGTTTGCTCAAGTACACAAAAGAGATATTTGCTCAACCATGTTTATAGCAGCTTTATTTGTAATAGCCAGAACCTGGAAACAACAACCCAGATGTCCATCAACGGAGGAATGGGTACAGAAATTGTGGTATTTTTACACAATGGAATACTACTCAGCAATCAAAAAGGAGGAAATCATGAAATTTGCAGGCAAATGGTGGGACCTAGAAAAGATCATCCTGAGTGAAATATCCCAGAAGGAGAAAGACAAACACGGTATATACTCACTTATATAGACCTATAAGATATGATAAACATAATGAAATCTATACACCTAAAAAAGATAATCAAGAGAGCGGACATGGGGTAAGATTATCAATCCTCGTTTTGAAAGACAGATGGGATGCACATTAAACATTGACAGGAGTCTACTGAGCGCATTTGAAAAACTCTAACTAGCAGTGTTTTCAAAGCAAAGACTCATGACCAAACCTTTGGCAGAGTACAGGGAATCATAAGAAAGAAGGGGAGTTAGTCTGATGAGGAAAGGATAGGAGATCCACAAGGACCAAACATATCTGGGCACAGGGTCTTTTCTGAGACTGACATGCAACCAAGGACCATGTATGAATGTAACCTAGAACCTCTGCTCAGATGTAGCCTGTGGTAACTCAGTAACCAATTGGTTTCCCATAGTGAGGGGAACAAGGACTATTTCTAACAGGAACTCAATGACTGGCTCTTTGACCTCCCCATCCCCCAAGGGAGGAGCAGTCCTGTTAGGCCACAGAGGAGAGCTTTGCAGCCAGTCCTGAAGATACCTGATAAAACAGGATCGGATGAATGGGGAGGAGGTTCCCCCTATCAGTGGACTTGGCAAGGGGCACGGTGGAGATGAGGGAGGGAGGGTCTGGGAGGGAATGAGGGATCGGGACATGGCTGGGAAACAGAGTTAATGAAATGTAACTGATAAGAAAAAAATAAAATTAAAAAAATTAAAATTAAAAATAAAAAGTTAAAAAAAAAAGAAAAGCTGGGATAGGTATGTGGAAACTACACAGAAATAAAAAGATGATGGGATGAGACAGGCCTTTGAAAGATGTCTGTAAGAATATTTTAATGATCACTTGTATCTTCTTAATCTGTGTCACTATGGCTGGGTTTGCTGGTTCAGTAACAAGATATTTTATTCAATCTGTACCTATAGAAAAAATATGCATTTTACTTGACGTTTTTATACAAGCACAAAACATACTGCAACTAATCACTTTTTTGCACATTTCCTATTTTCCCTTTGCCCATAAACCTGGAACCCTTCTTATTAGAGAATATTGCTTTATTGTGTCTGGTTTATTTCACTTAATATGATTTCCAGTTAGGTAGATTTTCTTGCAAAGGACACGACTCTCTTCATTTTATGGACATTCAGTCCACTCTGTTTTTGTAATGTGTTGTGACCTTGTCTTTATCCAGTCATCCATAAAAGAGCACATGGATGCAATCTATACCCTTTAAGCAACACACTATGTTAAAGGTAGATGTGGGCATCTTTATGGTATGCTAACCCAATCTCACTTGAGTGATATAGTTATAGTTATATCATAGAGTAGTATTTTAGTTTTAGTTTTCTTTAGAAAATTTATATGAATTTTTGTAGTTGCTGTATTAAATTTCATTCTCAGAAAAATATGCTCCTATAAGAGAATATTACTTTTTATCAAACCCTCACTATCATTTTTGGTTTTTGCTTTCATTCAAAAATAATTTTTGAATTTGATAAAAAAGACTGTCATCTACTAATGATTAAGTGTAAAATACATTGTCTTTTAAGCATACAGTTAATTATGAATAAATATCATATTAAAATTTGAAAAAAAAAGAATTCTGTGTAGATTGCTAGGTATCTTTCAGTTGGATCATTTATTTCCTTAACTGAGTCTTTCTCTTTCTTTCATTCCTTTCTTAATTTCTTTTTCTTTCTTTCTTTCCTTTCTTTCTGATTTTTCTCCTCTTTCTCTCCCTCCTCCTCTTCTTTGTATATTCTGGATATTAATCCTCTGATTGATATATAGCTGGCAAAGATTCTCTTCTGCTTTTTGGTTTTTCTTCACTTTTTTTTTTCCTTAGCTTTAATACAATTTTAGTTTTTATGATGTCTGAGTTGTCAGTTTGGGGCATTAACTCCTTTATTAATGGAGTCCTTTTTGCAAAGTTCACTGCTAGACCCATGTCTCATAGGGTTTTGTCTAGCTTTGCCTTTTGTTAGTGTTCTGCTACTGTTTTTAAGTGTCCTACTAGTAGTTTTAGTGTTTCAGGTTTCAGATTGAGATCATTGATCCACTTGAATCTAATTTATGTGCAGGATGATAGATATAGATCTAATTTCATTATTTTTTACGTGGACATCCAATTTCCCAGCAACATTTGTTGCAGTTAATTACTTTTCTCCTGAGTTCTTTTTGTCTCTATGTTAAAAATCAGATGGTTGTAGTTACGTGTACTTATATTTGGGTCTTCTCTTTTGTTCCATTAGTCTACATTTCTGTTTTTCTGACAATAAAATATTGTTTTTATTACCATTGTTCTAAACTATACCTTGAAGTCTGGAATAACAATCCATCTAGTATTATTCTTTTTGCTCGGGATTGCTCTTGCTGTGTCTTTGGAAGAATTGGGGACATTACGGTCTCTGACATAAACTGATTGGCCTGTTCTTTGGTCACCTCCCCCCTGAGGGGGGAGCAGCCTTACCAGGCCACAGAGGAAGACAATACCGCCACTCCTGAAGAGACCTAAAAGACTAGGATCAGAAGGAAGGAAAAGAAGACCTCCCCTATCAGTGGACTTGTGGAGGGGCATGCATGGAGAAGGGGGAGGGGAGGATTGGGAAGGGAAGTGGGAGCTACAGTGGGGATACAAAGTGAATAAAGTGTAATTAATAAAAATTAAAAAACACAAAAAGATAAATAAAAAATAGTTATCATTGAAATCTGTGGGCATATTGCAATCATTTTGATGTTTTCTTCTGGTTTATACTCTTAGTCATGGTTTGTTTTCATGAAACTATGGCTTTGTTCTCTTTCTAGAGTCTACTGGCTACACTTGTTCCTATCCTCAGTTCGGAATATTGCTTCCAGTATTTCTTTAGCACTTTTGTTTGATATTAAATTTTTTGGTTGTTTGAATCATGAAAAGTTTCTCTCTGTCCTTTAACTATGACAGGTAATTTTTCTGGGTGTATTGTCTAAGTTGACAGGCATAGTATTTTAGAATCGTTGAGCATCTGGCTCCCTGGTCTTAGAGTTTTTATTAAAAATCATCTCTCATTCTCATTGGTTTTGCTTAATATGTAACTTGAGTATTTTTTCTCTTTTAAGCTTTCAGTATTCTTTGTTCTGTATATTGAGTGTTTTGACTATGATATATTGTGGGGTGTTTCTTTTTGGCCTTGTCTAGTTGGGGTTCGGTGTTGTGCTTACAGTTTTTATGGTTATATCTTTCTTTGGTTTGGGGAAGCTTTTTTTTATGATCTTGTTAGAGACCTGGTCAAAACAACTGAGCTGGGATTTTTTCTTTTATTGCTATAGTTTTACAATTGGCGATTTTATGGTGTCCTGCATTCCTGTATGCTCCCATCCTGTGCTTATTAACATCTTTCATTTTCTTTGCTTATTTTATCTAGCTCATATGCTTGATTCATTCTACTTGTAAGGTTTTTCTCTGAATTTTCTAATTAGGATATTGAGTTTTAATTCTACTGCATAGGGAGCTAACAGACGAAAAAAATTCTTACCAGCTATATATCTGACAGAGGATTAGTATCTAGAATATATAAACACAGTAAAACGGGCAAACAGCAAAATAATAGAGAGGCACAGAGTTAAACAGAGAACTCTCAAAGGTGAGTGTCTAAGAATTTTTAAATTATCAAATCCTTATCCTAGACAATTAAATTGAAATGCTAACTAAAATAGCTTTGAAATTTCATCTTACCCTGGTCAAAATGGCAAGACAAAAACAACGTCGAATGCTGGTGTGGGCATGGAGGAAGAAAACACTTACTCCAGGTGAGAGGAGTCACTTTGACAATCACTGTGGAAGTATAGAGGTCCTCAAAAAGGCTAGAAATAGAGCCACCACATGATTCAGCTGTGCCACTGTCAGCGCACACACAAAGCATTCTGTCTTACTACTGAGATACTTGCTTATCCATGTTCAGTGATACTCTAATCATGATAGCCAGGAATTTGAAACTGCCTAAATGTTCATCAGTGAATACATAGAATATGGTACATTTACAAAGTGGAATGTTATTCACCTGTAAGAAAGAAAAAATGTGACATTTACATGGAACTGTAAACAATCATTCTGAATCGGTCAGCCCAGATACAGAATGACAAATAGCTCCTGTTTTCTCTCACCTGAGGACATTAGCTTTGAGTCTGTAGATGTGCAAATCTCATGTGGTATACCCACAGAGGTGAGAAAATTGGTAAAGCGTCATGGCAGGAGGGAGTTTTCAAGAAGACAGAGCACAGTGAAATAAGTGTGGAGGAGGAGCAGTGGTGTTAGCCAGTGAGGTCGTACAGACCTTCAAATATTAAAGTCTTCTGTGATTCCTCTTGGCTACTCTCTAGAACTTCATGGTAAGACTGAGACTGAAGATGTCACATACTTGAATCATAGATACAGAGAAACCAAGTTGGTATGAACCTGAGAGTTTCATCCCTACTATCTTTCATAGTAGGGATGCTTGAAGGAAAGATGCATACTACCAGAGAAAAATTATTGTCAATCTTATCCAGGTGTAAACTCTACAAGCTACAGTAACCACCTTCCGGAAAAGAAAAGTATGCCCTCGGGTGCAGCAGAGCCACAGATAACATGAGAAAAACCAATCACTTTCTTGTTGGGTTTTTTTCTTGTTGGATTCATGGCACACTCCAGAATATGCAATACACATCTACCAGTTATTGGGGCTGAGAACCTATAGACTGACAGATCATAGGCCATGGAGGGGAACTTTCTGCTGGAACTCAACTAATGGTTCATAGTATTACAGTCCTAAGCCTGTTAGCCTTGGAAATTAGCATGTCCCAAAACCCAGTTCTTGCTTACTAGCAGCTGGAGTTGATCAACAATCAAGATTCCATCTGAACAGACATATTCCTTCATGATTTTTTTCCTTGTGAACAATTCTGTAATATTCTATGCACTTGGAAGCTGTTACATTTTGCCCCTTTTATTTGTAAGTATGACCAAAAGGACCAGAAACAAAAGTATACATTTACCTGTCGTCAGATGACCACTTTAGCGGATTTTTTTGGGTGGTGTGTAGAATATTTAAGCCTCGTCACTTTAAGTTGACGTGCAATATTTGAAGACAATATGCTAGCAGAGGTAGAGTAGACTCCAGATTACCTAAAGAAAATTTTTAAAAAATGAATTAAATGGGAATTAATCTACCCCAATAATTCTGCACATCTTTTATAAATAAAATAATTGAAAAATACGTGTGTATTCATAGATCAATGTAATGAAAATCCACTAATTTAGTCACTAAGACATGACTAAATTGATCAAATATATATTTATGAGAAGCCAAAACTTAAAAGTTCAAGGTAAAGAAGAGTCAATTTCTTTAAAAAACTGACAATGGATCATAGGACCAGGAGAGGTAGTTCAGTGGATAAAGCATGAGGAACTGAACCCAACTCCCAGCATCAGTGTAAACAGTACAGCATATGATATCCTCTTATGATTCTCAGACGTGGAGACAGGAGGATCCCTCAGGCTTGCAAGGAAGCCAGTCTAGATGGACAGATGATCCTAGTGAGAGGCCCTGTATCAAAAGCAATACGGGCAGCACCTGAAAATGACACTAGGCATTCGCCTCTGGCTTCCAGCTATACGACACACAAATCAAACCTGGACGTCCACAGACATGCCAATAATAGATCATACAAAGAATGTCATAACAAACAAAATTAAAAGCTACCACTCAACTCTTTATATCCATTTAAATAATTTGATGCTAAATTGTGTGTGTGTGCAAATAAGATTTAACAAAATAATCCTAAAAAAAATCTCAATAATACAGGTTTAACCACGTGATTCAATTAAAGGCAAAAATAAATACTTTAGGAATCTGTTTCAGAATTCAAATTTCCTAATTGGGTATGTATATTTAAGAAATTAAATATCTTTAATCAAAATTTAAACCTCAATATGGTACTGAATATATAAACTTTGGTATGACAGATAATCTTTGACCAGATTAAGCATAAGAAAAAGTGAAAACTAGATTCTTCCAATTAAATAAGCAGTTACCTGCTTTGGCTCTAGGACTACCTGTTATAAAGTGTTCAAAGAAGACATCATGACCATCGGGTCAAGGGTGCTTCTGTAAAAGGATGAAGGATGTGTGGAGACAATAAAGAAAGCTAAGGAATGTGAAAGTCACTGATTGGATTTAAGAGACAGAAAAGGAATTGAGTTAAAGGTTCCAAATTTCCCAACAGTGAAGTATTCATACTCAGTGGACTTCCAGGAGCTGCAGAAGAGTAGTTGACATCACTTCTGGTCCTACTGGAGTTTAGGGTTTTCATGGCTCTCAAAAGCTGGGTGAGTCAGGAATTCCAGCCCACCCCAAGTAACCTGTCTATATCAGTACAGGAAATCTTTATATTGTTTGATTGTTGATGGTTAGATTCTTAACAATATTCAAAGTTCTCTCGCATTCCACAGTACAGAACATCAGCACATTCTTTTACAAACTGTGAAGTTCCCTTGCTATAGCTTCAGAGACTTTAATCAGACAGGATTGTATATAATCTTTAAAATTAAGGTCCTGAAATAATATACGTAGCAAACAAAGGCCAAGATGAACTCAACAGTAGCTGGAAGACTTTGGGATTCACTGTAATTCCTCCAGATTTTCTAGATTAAAGCAGAAACTCTCTTACATGTACCCAACATTGGCCTATGTACCACCTACGTAATGTGTTCCATAAAGAAAATCATGTAATCTCTTTGCTCTTTGTTTTTTCATTCCTACACAAAACAATACAGCAATACTAAACTAATACACCATATTTTAAGTTGAGGTGCCAACCACTCCAATTAAACAACAGGAATTAAACAGAACCCAATCTTTTCTTTCCAACCTATAACTGAATCAAGATTGGAATCTAATTCTTGGTGGCTCTTTTACTGTTGTAAGTGGACTATATTTTAAATCCTATTGACTGATTTACTTTGACATCTAGACCAGGAAGATATCAATAGTGCATGGCCCTCAACACGTGAGCCACACAAAACCTAGTTTTAGATGCAAACTCTTGATGCAGTTAAAATGACTCTGAGAATTCTAATTGATGTTAAGGGTTAAGCTAAGTTTTTTTGTTTTTTGGGTTTTATTTTTCGAATTGGAAAATTAAAATATACTAACGTATAATAAATCGTGAAGAATTAGAAATAGATGGAACAATTGCAGTAGGCAGAATGGTGGCTATGTTCATGTCCCCGTTCCAAGGGACTGTAACAGTACCTCACGTAGCAAAAATATAAGAAGACTCTTGACAGTTTTTTCTGTACTATTGAGGTGAGACCTGCTTGCAATCACACTATCCTCAGAATACTAGAGAAATGAAGTCTAGAGAGACAATGTGGGACAGGGACATGAAGACGGAAGCAAAACAGAAACTGAAGTGACCACAGAACAGAACGCCAAATAGCAACAATGACCACCAGAAGCCTGAGGAGGCACTGAGCTGAGCCTTCTACAGCTGTTTGGGGAGTTCTGTCAGGCAGTCAGCCTCCACCCAGCACTATCTAGGTTTGCACTGTTTATACCATTAGGTAGGTAGTTTTCATATTTTCCTGGGAAATTCCCACAACTGTCTTGGGTAATTGTTTCTAAAAGCCATAAACATAGTGATTGGATCGTAAGGTTTTCCCTTACATAGACAATTACATAATTATGCAAAGAGACTTAAATAGACTTAAGGACAGTCATCTCAAAAGGACAAACTTTCATTCATTAAGAAATGTGCTAATCCAATAATATGAAACAAAGAATGTAGAAGATCTGTATAAACGGATGACTGAAACAAATGATAAAGGTTATAAACAGCAAAATGTGGTTCTATTTTATTTTATTAGCTTCATTTTAATTTTTATGTGTTACTGTTTTGCCTGCATGCATGAGTGTTCACCACATTCATGCAGTCTCTGGAGGCCAGGGAAGGTGTAGGATTCTCTGGGACTGGAATTACAGCCACCACGTGGGAGTAGGAACTAAACTCAGTTCATCTACAAGAACAAGTGCTCTTAACTGCTGAGCCATCTCTCCACCCAGCTTCTCTGTGTTTTAAAGTATGTACTGCACTGCTGTAGTGCTATAGTGTTCTGGCTGTGTGAACAATATCACAAAGTGTGGATCTACAGATACAGTCTAAGAATCAAGACTGCTGGCCACCCTGCCTCCATATCTTGTCTCTTGTTCCTCCTCCTCAAGTTTCATAAAATGGGCCTTGGACAGCTCAAGTACCTTCATTTTGTATCTGACACAGCACAATTACCTTCTAGCATCTCCTTCATATATCATCTATAACCTGGCATTAAAGAATGCTGATGGACCTAACTTGCATAGACAAAGTGCTTTTCAAAAAACTCTGTTTTTGGGGCACACTCAAATTCCAGAGACTATTGTTTGAAAGTAATTCTTTCTTCCAATTTCCCTCCTCAAAAAACCCCACTTACTACCCCTTAGAAGGAATGGTCCATATTCCCTTCCCACCTGAATGGAGTAAGCAAGCGATTCTCCTTTGGAAGGTGGGTAGCCCCTCTCCCATTAGCCAATCGCTGCTCCGGTTATATGCACCACACCTGGCAAGGGGTCTGCCACTCATGCACTCAGGAGGCTGACATGGATCTCAAGTTTGAGCGCACGCCTAGAGGATGTGTTAAACTCTGTCTCAAAACCAAACAGAAATACGTCTTTTTGCTATTAATTTATCTATTGTCAGTCCATTCAAAAAAACATCTGGAGGGACCAAGAGAAGATTTTCCTTTAACATACAATGTATATGTGCTTACACACACATACAAACTATCCAGAACAACACATTAAAAGCTATTAACTACAATTAGCTCTCGGAAGTAGCTCATATAACTTGTGAGACTTTAAAATGTTTATAAACATAATGAATGTGTATTATTTTTTCTATTATAAGCTTTATAACAAAAAAAGTGCTAAAATACAAAACTTCAGTTTGCACATATAAATCTGTTCCTTTATGAGATGGTATTATCAGTAGCAGGTACTTCGATTTGTATGAAAAGAGCGAAACCTGTTGTCACAGGTCTGTGATTCAGGCTGCTAAGAAGCCGGAGGCAGGAACATCACATATTCAAGAACTGCCCAATCTCCAGAGCTAGGTTAAGGCCAGCATAGCCTACTTAGGGAGACCCTGTCTCAAATTCAAAGGGAAAGGGAGGACACCCATAGTGTTTATTTCCGGATGCTTCTCTTATTGGTATTTTATTTTTAGTGCTATTTTCATCATGTTGGAGAGATAACAGACCTTGACTTTAGGACTCATTAGAAATAAAATTATTTCCCAGAATCCTACCACTCAAACTAAGGCCTGGTTCAAGTTTTAGATCCGTAGAGAGTGGGGGCTTCTCCTATCAATACTGAATTTCTGATGAAAAAGATCCTGGAGGAGATGTAAAATTCTTAGAACTTGCTGGAACAAGACTATAAAGTCATTGCACCCCTTCTGCATCAAGTCTAGTGATATTCTCAGATCAACCTAGAAGAAAACTTGGATGATACTTCGAGACTTGGCACTGCCCATTTTGCAACTAATCGTCAATGACCTCCTGGCTGGCCTTCCCCCACTTGGCCGTGCTGTGATAAACACCATAACCAAAACCAATGGAGGGAAGAAAGAATTTGTTTCATCTTACGACTTATAGTCTATCATGAACGATGTCATGGAGTCCTGCAGGGGCCTTGGAGGAACATCGCTTACTGGCTTGCTCTCCATGGCTTGCTCAGCTGGCATTTTTATACCACCCATGACCACCCACGTGGGGGTGGCACTGCCTATAGTTGCCAGGGTCTTTCCATATCAACCATTAATGAAGAATACACCCCCACAGCCTTGCCTACAAGCCAGCCTTACAGAGGCATTTTCCGAAATGAAGTTGCCTCTTCCCAAACGAAACTGGTTTATGTCAAGCTGACCAACCCAACCCAACCCAAACAAAACAAAATCCAAAACCCAACCAAACGAAACAACAAAAAAAATCTAACCAGCACATTAGCCTTACTAGCCTTTTAGTTATTTCTCAGTTTCAAAAGAATTAAATTATTACTAGTTTTAAGAGAGAAATTCTAGCAAAATTATATG